GAGATATCTATCCACAACTCTTCCCTAAATTTCTTTGTCATCAATTTTCAAATCATGTTCCTTCCAAGTCCCTGACCACCCAGACAAATCACTGGCTACAGATCATGAATTGGTATATAACTGCACATCTGCCATTCCTCCTTCCAAGCAAAGTGAATAACAAGGCGCACTGCCTAAAGTTTTTCCCACTGGAAAGATTTCCCTTTGCCACTGACCTTCAGGGATGTTGCAGAGAGGGGCCGTAGTGCTACAGCTACCTACTTTCAGGTGGTGCCTGAAAGAGTTCACACCATGAACTCTCTAGAAACAGTTCACACCATGGATTACAGGTGCTCTTTTTACTACTGGAAATAGAATGGTTCATGTCTTTAAATTTTAATCATATGACAGAGTTCATTCCAGAAGCCCCGGAACCAATTCAGAAAACTCGTCCTTAAAATTCTGTTCCTCTTGAATGACTCTTAGTACCAAAAACTGTACTTGTCATGCTTCTCCAGAGAAACAGAACCTATATATATATATTAAAGGAATTGTCTGAGGTGATTACGAAGGCCAAGAAATTTCATGATCTACAGTGTGTAAGCTGAGGAACAAAAAAAAAAGCTAATGGTGTAATTCAGTCCCAGTCTGAAGGCCCAAGAACCAGCAGCACTGATGCATGAGGGCAGGAGAAGATGATATCCCAGCTTAAACAGAGAGAATTTTCTACTGCTCCCATTTTGTGTTCTATTCTTCTGTTTGGGGCCCTCTATGTATTAGATAATGTCTCCCAACACTAATGAGAGCAAGCTTCTTTACTCAGTCTACTGATTCAAAGGCAAATTTCTTCCAGATATACCCTCACAGAAACACTCAGACTAATGTTTTATCAGAATCTGGGCATTCTCTAACCCAGTCCAGCTGACATATAAAAGTAACCACAGCACCCTCTTAGATTTTAAGCCCCTGGAGGGCAAAGAGCTGCTTTTTCCTGCTTTAATGCTCCTGTAGTACCTCATACACTGAGGGCAAATAGTGGATAACAATAAATACTTGTTGATTGTGTTACTAAGTAGATTTCAAAATTTTTATCAATCAAATTTAAAATTTTAAACTGTTTAAAAGCTTGACAAGACCCAGAGCTGGCAAGAGTGTGGGGGAAAGGGCATATTGTTGGTGAAAACGTAAATTGGCTATAAGCTTTCTAGAGGGCCACTGAAGCAATATGTATCAAATATAAAAGAAAAAATTAAACTCGAAGGTTATCACAGAAGTTCAAAGCAATATAAGCAAAAGAAAATGGGCAACTTAATATCTACTAACAATGGACAAGTTAACTGAATTATCTTTAATAGGGAACACATCCAAAACAGGTTACTGAGGATACAAAAACGTCATAGGAAAACATCTACAGTATGATTTTTTAACCTGATACATAATAGGTATATATATTTATAATTTCTTTGCAATGGGAACTAAAGTATGACTTTTAAAAACATATCTAAAATTGTATGCTTATGTATATATAGGTGCCTAGAGACAAGTCCGAAATGATATTCACCATAATTGTTACCTTTGAGGGAAATTTTCAGGTGATTTTTTATTTTCTTCTTCATTTTCCACATGGTTTCTGTTTTATTTTACAATGAACATATTCATTTTATAAAATTTTCATTAAAAATATATCTTTAAAATTTTAAAGCTGAAAAAAGGATATGTGCTCTATAAAAAGACAAACGTGGGGTCAAATCTCAAATTTACCACACTTTGATGTTTAAAAAAGGTAAATTCCTTATACATTTCTACTTATCTGTTTGACAAGGAGCACTTTTAGGAAAAAATTAAATGCATACGACCATATGACTAATGAACCTTTTTCCCCCAAACTTAGGCATCTTTGCCACAAACAAAGATGATTTGTTTTCCAGGTAAAATTTAATGCTATGTATATTTTGTACTTTTGACACTGCTCTATTTTTTCAGAAAATAAAGCTGTGAAGTTAAATGAACTCTATAATGTTATAGTCAAAACTTTATGATGCTATTTACAGTTTATGGATTTATTTATATGCTTAAAAAAGACTTAGGCAGCTTCCCACCTGGAATTTCAGTTTCTCTAAATCCTGTTCACATTCCCCCTCACTTCCAAATCATTTATTAAAAATAAAGCTTAACCAACTCTACCAAGTAGAAGTGATCTGTCTGCTTTCATAACCTCTAGCATGCTAATAAGGAATGTAAATAAAATTAGTATTGAATCATTTGGCACCTAAAACTAACACAAGTGAAACAATTAACAAAAACTATGATTTAAGCAGGGGCATAACTAGACTGAGAACCAGCCTGGTAAGCCCCTGGCACCCTCTGTTATCAGCCACTTAACCCAGGATATGTCCCCAAACTTTGCAGTGCCTCAGTAGCCTCCTTAAAATGACAGGTAACCTCCCAACTATGGGCTTATCAATTTGATGATTAGAATTCTTTAGAATTCTTTATTACAAGAAATATAGATTTAACTTTGGTTTTGGACAGGTTGGCAGCTCCAGCTCCATGGCAAGAGCTGAGGAGCGTGCTGGTTCGACTCATGGATTCTCAATCTGTCCATGAAAGTCAGAGAAATTATACTTAACTCTATTTTTAAAAAGGGCTCACTGTAAACTAAAAATAAACATAATTTTGATAGAGTATTTTAACAAACCATATTATTACAAATTTACAAGTTATCAGAAGGCCTCATTTATTACATGCTGTGAAGATAAAAGTTATTTGTGCTACTGGCTGCTCAGGCTCTTCTGGGTCCTGAAAAAAACATTCTAGTTCTCAGGATCCTGAGTCAAAGCTAACTAAGGCAGTAATTCTGATAATGCCTGGGGGCTCTGACCAGCCTTGGGATACTTTCATGTACCAAATGACACTGCTGATTCATTCTCTCAGGAATAACAGCCTCATCACACCCCACCCTCAAAAACACATGAGCAACCAAAAGCCGCTCTGGAAACTGAACTTCCCTGTGTTGCTCTGGTCCCACAGAGAGGAGATCATCATAACACCACTAAATAACAAAGACCTTTCAGAAGCAGGATTAGCTCTCCTTCTACCCCAGGCATGCCACTAGCAAAATGACCTTAAACAGACATCCTTGGCCACTCTTCTTGTATTTATAATCATCTCCCAAATTTCTCCACTATTTCAGTGGCTCTCAAACATCAGAGGGCATCAGATTCATCTGTGGACTGAGGCCTCGCTGGCTTAAATGACAGACTCCACAGGGACTCGGATGTACCAGCAGGTCTAGCCTAAGCCTAGAGGATTCACAAGAAAGAAGGACAGAGTGGGTCCTCGTTATCCTTAAAAAAGTTTATCAGAGTACTTGGAAGACAGTGACTTTACTATCAGTTGTTTTAATTTGTTCTCTATCCTTAATGCTAATGCTATAATAAGGGAACGTACCATATGGTATATAATAGAATGCAAAGAAAACAAACCAGTCTGACTGTTTGGTGTTACCAAGGGAAAAAAAAAATGTTTCTTCAAGGCAAAAGTTGGATTAAGACATACACTTTATGTATCTGTTAGAAATCTATAAAATTAGGAGCATACCAAGGCACACATAGGCATTAAATTACTAAATCAGGCCAGGCTCACGAAAAGGACCAGTGTTCATTGTACTGTATGACTTCCCTGCTTTTCTCAGAAAAGACAGACAAAGCTCACCACTGATCCAGGAGCGGCATCCAATGTGTGTTAATATTTACATGTATGCTTTGATGTGTCCTTAAAGTGCCCCATTATAGGTCCTCACAGGGTAGGTGGAACATGAAATGTTATCCTGTCTAATACGGATAAATAAGTTCCTAAACTAAACTTCTAAAATGTATCTGACTAACCACACATCTCAGGAAATCCTGGCTTTTTCAATCCTCCTCTACTTGGGTTAGTCACTAGCATGTATTTTGCTATAGGGTAGTCCAGAGGCTATTAAAAGATATAAAAATAGATCTAAATAATCCTAAAGGTCTGAGAGAAATCTCTCAAAGCAAAGTTACGTTTAAATTCTTTCTTTAAATCTAGTTACAGCCAAGTACAGGGAATGAATGGTGAATTCATAGGTAATTCCACAGCTAGGCTGCTACAGGGCATGGGAAGACTGCTATCCAGACTCAAGCAGAAAAAAGGGCAGATTCTTAACAAACATGAAAAAAACATTTTCACCAACTTTGCATTGTATTTTTTCATATATAAAAGTGAATTTACATTAATCTACCACAGGGGGAGGGAATTAAGTCATAGTTCATTTAAATCATTTACCAGTTAACTTCAAGTACCAACCAGAACTCCTGTTAACCTAAACTCTTTATAAAGGCATAGCTCAGGCATTACCTAAACATTCTCTACAGAGGATTTCTGTGCAGCTGTGTGTCAGAGATATTCCACAGTAAGCAGTCAATACCATTCCTTACATTTCCAAATTCAGTGATGACTTTTTATATGGTGAGATGTCACCAATGAGAAAAAAATTTAATGATTAAAAAAAATACTGAATTAAGATAGAAGTTCCTGCTAGCCTCATTAGGAGATTTAAAAAGGAAAGAACAGGGCTGGGCATGGTGACAGAGGAGAAGGGGAAGCTATGACCTCTGAAGAGGACTAAATGACAACCTACATAAAGTAAGGAAGGTTTAACATTAATTCTCATGTTTTCTGTTTTTTATTTAAAACTTTAGGGGCAATACAGCTATCTAAATCTTTCTGCACACTTTCACTTGCCTAGTAACATGGCGATTTTTTTTTTTTTATAGAAGTACTGGAACACATGTTTTTCAAACATCATATGCCTCATTGAATATAATAACAAATTTTCAGAGCTAAGTTACATTAACATACACTATCATTAAAACATATTTCCACATCTCAAAAGGACATTATGGTTCTGGAAATACCTGAGCTTACAAAGACCCTCAGTCATTCTAAAACATACAAAGGAAAAATGTGTTCTGCAAAAATGAATAAACTTTACTTACTCGTATTGATCAGAAATTGATTTGACACACCAGGATGATCTACATCATGTATTGCACTGGCAAAAATTGCTGCAAGAATCTCCAAATCTGTAAACACAGCCTAGAAAAATCAGAAAAAGATAGATAACATTACTATTCTATAACCACATGAATTAAAAATACAAACAAATGAGAAGTAACTTCCTAGAATTTAGGTGGAAAACAAAATAAAGCTTTAAAATATGTTATCACAATGTTGCAGGAAGAATCTTTTAGATAATGAGATATTTATAAGCTTTTTAAGTATAATTCTAGAAGAAAATATTTTATCTGATTTTATTATCTCATGATCAAAACTTGCCCATTCATAATAGTTTACAAAACATTATAAAAACCGTCTGAGATTATTTTTTAAAGAAAATAATAGCTCATTTTATAAGTATTTAAGATGTTTAAGAATATTCTAAAAATACACATAAAATTAATAAGATATTAGTAATTATTTCCTTTTCTTTTATCAAAACTAGGGTTTCTCCACTTCAGCACTTTTGACATTTTGGGTCAGATAACTCTTGGGTGGGAGGGCTGTCCCTATACAGTGTAGGATTTTTCGCAGGATTCCTGGCCTCTACCCACAAGATGCCGGTATCATGTATAACTAAAAATGTAATAGTTGTGACAACTAAAAATGTCTCCAGACATTGCCAAACGTCCCTGGGGGTTGGGGGTGGGGAGAAAAGGGAGATAAATCATTTCCAATTGAGAATCACTCACCCAAATGATGATGCATTAACACAATTTTATAATGAAAACAATCTGAACTACAAAATATATTAGCAAAAGAGTATCTTTCCCCCAAATGATTAAAGGAAATCAAATTTCTTTAATAAACACTTAATGGAACAACTTCTTAGGATTTGGAAAAATTAAAGTGGTGTTTCCTCCTAAAAAATTCTATGAAAAAAATCAATGTATTTGCTTATATTTTATAAAATAGTCATCCTTTGACCTCTAACTGCAAAAGCCATCAGACTGCCTAAGCCAGATGTGCTTTATCAAATGTCCACCGGATAATTTCAAAGAAGCAATATCAGAAACAGATGAATCACTAAATCTTTGACCAACTTTCATGGGCAAAATTCATCTAAGACTTCACTGTTTATTAACTATAACAACATTTTTTTTTAAGCTCATATACTTCTAATAAAGCCAATTATTTTCTTCACTGCAAGCCCTTCAGTATAAAAGTTTAAGAGCCTTTATGAGTAGAAAGTTAGCATTCTTGAAATTTCAGAAAACAGATTTACCTCCAAAGCAGGTGTAGATAACAGCACATGGGTAGACTGGACAACATCTGCAGCATGGATATTGTTGTGATAGGCCACATCAGCATGGTAATGGTCTTCCAGAGTCATGAGATACGTAATTAAAGTATCTACTGGAATTTTAAATGTTTTTAATAAATCCCGTTCCTGTAGGAAAAGAAATCCTCATATAAAAAAATTTTCCATAGTGTTAAAAAAGAATCACACAGCAGTGTTGCCAAAGGTTAACCCAGAAATGGCAACTGCACTGTCACATGTCTAGTGAGGGAAACGGAAACCTTTGGAAAGATCCAAGGACTGAGGAACAAAACCAGAGTTGGGTTGTCCTCTGTCCTCCTGGAGCCCAACAGTGCTACACCCACACCGTGCGGTGTAGAAATGAGCTGCTGACTATAGAAGTTTCTGTGTCCCATCATCGTGAGGGCAGCTTCCATCAAGCACCATTGACTCAGCCACTGGATCACACCGACTGAGACCCAACATTCTCTCTAGGGCTGGAGTTTCCCATTCCAGTCCTAAGGTATCCACAACAGCCTCAACTTCTCATTTAAATCCCACCCTGAGCTGGGGTAAAGGTTCAACAAGGGTGAGAAAAGGATACAGAGAAGATAGCAGGGCACAAGAAAGTGACTGAGGTCTAAGGTAAGGCAGCTGGGGGCTTATTCATTTTATAAAGTTAGTACTCCATTCTCTATGGAAGTCAGTGTCATGGAGATGATTTCTTAACTATTATTTTAACGAATTGCTTCAATTCCCCCTACATCGCATCTTTGTCTTCAATGCAAAAACATAACAAAATTGATCTATTTGTGTTTTACCCACATTCCACCTTTCTGTATCTTTATTTGTCCCTTAGCAAAGGAGTAAATAAGGAAAAAAAGTATCAAAATAAGCAAAAGAGGATGAGTAGTAAAGAAGACAAGAGACATGCACAATCCACAGAGTGCATATTAAGTTCCTGAATAAAAGAAATGTGTTAGAACTCAACCACATTACCTGAAAAATGGTGTGCATGATAACAGTCAGAGGCCGGTTACCAGACAACTCTGCTATTCTAAAAACATGAAGACCCCATTTGTTCACCTCCTCCAGTTCCTGGGGTTAAAAAAACAATATCAAAACATTAGAAAGTGGAAGTAGAATATGAACCAACAAACACAATTGTTTAAAGATTACTGATTTGAATGCAAAGATGGTTAGATTTTTTTTTAAACAATGATTCATTTTAAATGAATGGATGCACCATGTAAGAATAGGCAAACTTTAGGCAAATTCACACAAATGTACTGAAAACAGAATAGTATTTACTTAACCTTATGACTTTGACAATACAACATATTTATATACTTAGAATATCAATCTCAAAGCTTTTCTTCAATGGCTAAAATCTATTCACAAAATCTTAGCTAGATTCCTAAAATCCTGAAGACATAATAGATTTCCAATTCTTTAAGGCCAATCAACTGAAGATGTAAAGAAATAAGAAACATATATACTAAATCACTTGTCTAAATCTATATCTTACTAAAATCTAAATACTTTAGAAAGAGCTTTATAAAGTATTTTCCATCTTCGAAAAAATCCCACAAATTAATAAACTTTTTCATCTATTTAAGAGAGAAGGAATGAAAACTCATGAAAAGACATCATTGCTTATTTATGATCATGATCTCTGAAACCATACCTTGGCAAGGACATCTTCCTGCTCAGTTTTAACTCCAAACCTTGGGATACTGGAATTAGTCAGGCTAGAGCTGTGCATCAGTTTCTTGACTCCACTGATCTGAGACATTGGCCTTTTCTTTTTCTCCTTTTCCTTCTGAGTTGGACAAGGAATTTCCACTTCATGTTGCTTATCTTGAGAAATTTAGAAAATGTACACTTACTATTAATTCTATCTTTATTTTAACCATAACATGCATAACAGTTTGGATTGTAATTGATTATTATATATTTCAGGAAATGTTTCCAAGTAAAACTTTTCCTTTTAGAAAATTGTTTCAATTTGATGTGGACTTAATTTGCTATCTTTAAACACAAAATTAAGCAAATAAATTCCACTAAAGAACAAGTAATAACAAATATATTCAGTGGTTATCTCTTTGATAGAATGTCCTAATAAAAAATTTTGCAACACTTACTATGAAAACAGACTCAGAGAGAACAAAACAGGTGGTTATTTCCACTGTTTATCAATTCCATTCCTATTTGAAATTCACTTAGTGGCTTGAAAACTGCTCTTGCCAACTAAGGCCTCCAGTTTCAACATGTACTTTGAAATGGTAGAAACTTTGGACACAAATGTCATAAAACTCTAGCAACTAACTGAAATGGGTCATACTGTGGGATCCAAAACAACATTTTTAAATGATTTGGATTAATTCTACTACTTTTTATTTCTATATTATAGCAAGATAAGGGTTATGATATAACCAGGTTTTATGGGTAACAAAGAATCTCAAATATTATATGATAGTGAATATGCACATATGCTAATTGTTGTTTTCTGTAGTAAAAGATTTAAGATGTCTTGGTACATTCATCCACTATTTCAAGGCAGTGAGCAACGCTAACATATCCTCACACATAGTATGTGTTTGATAAATGTTTAATAAATATGCTAATTAGATATTCTGACACTTTTGTTTGGAAAGTAAATCCAAATCAAGGATATGTTCAAATTACTGACTTTTATTTATTGTAATTTCTTTCTGTGGATGGGGTAGAGGGGTTGTCCCAAGATACCACACTCGCAGCTATTATCAGCAAACTTTTCTTTAGCAACTATATTATATCTGCCCAGCAGTTTACCAGGCTTAGTGTCCATTAGACTGTCAATAGGAACCATTTCTAATTTATCATTAAACACCTATTATCCAGCAATGGCTAGCATTTTACAAGAATTTGTTGAATACATGAATAGATCTTTCTGTAAAATATATTTTACAGTTTAGTACTATTGACTGGGTGTGGTGGCTCAGCTGGGTGCTGTAATCCTAGCACTCTGG